ATTAACGCGGTTGGGGAGTAACGAGTAATGAGATGCCTGCGTCTCATTATGAGACATATGGTAAATCGGAGACATAAGTATGTAAGAGAATAGAAGAAGTGTGTTTTGTTCCACTGTTTTATGTCCCTTCTTATTGGCACAATCGATAAAAATTTAAGGAATATTTTACAATAGATCAACGAATTTCCATGTTATCTCATATTCATGCATGAAAGACATTTCACATTACGACTTTACAGACAGAATTTTATATTTTTAGTGATAAAAAATGGTAGAGAGTTGATGAAAAATGATTGGAAGTTCTGTACCGCATAAATTCACGTTCGAATTAAATGGGAAAATAAATATAAATGAAAGAAGAAGTGAGATAAATGTACGTCAGGTATAATAAAAGATTCATTACGCTCTCTTACGAGAGGTGTAATGAGACGTTTAAAGGAAGAGAAAGTTGAGACATACTAAAATTTCTTTAAAAATTACAAATATCTTCATCATTTTGTATATAGCTATATCTATTGAAAAAAAAAGATCCTTATATTATACAAGGCTGAAAGAGCATATTTAAAAGAAGTAACAAGCTTGCAGTGGCATAAAATTCTCAAAGATAACGTAACTTACAAAGACGGATTAACGATAGAAATTTCTTTTTTCCATTAATAATATAGCTTAATATTACCTTTGAAGATAATTGTACAATTCTTTGTACATGGGCGTAGCCAGGATTTTATTTGAGTGGAGAGAGGAAGGCAAATTAAAGTTGAGACTTTTAAATTCAATGAGCGAGAGAGTGGCATGTGGATTTATTTATTTATTGGATGTATTTTGTTTTATATTATTTTATATTTTCACTAATTAATTACTAGCAGGGAAATCACGAAATCAAATATATTTAATTTACTGATTTATTTTAGTTTTCTTTTAAAATTGTAAACTAATTTTAAAAATAAAAAAAATTTAAACTTATGCTACTAGTCTTGGATCATTGGAAAATCTTTCTATAAAATCTTTTTAATTTTTCAAGTTTTTCTTTTTTTCAAAAATTTAATTTATTAATACATTAAGAATTGT